GTCACGTCCCAAACCCCAGTGAAAAGGGACAAAAAATGCTTCAGTGAATTAGGATCCTGCCTCCCTCCAGCACTGGCAGTTGGCTTTGGCTCCTGGGGGGATTCTGCCCCCCACACCAGCTCTGAAAATCCTCTTAGGTGTGGAGGGTAGCCTCATCCCAAACACTTTCCTGGGAAGCCCTTGTTTCCAGGATGGTTTCCTTGATCATCTTTGTAGCCCTACGCTGGACTCTCTCCAGCAGTTCCCTGTCCTTCTTGAACTGAGGGGCCCAGAACTGGACACAATATTCCAGATGCGGTCTCTCCTCTTAGGTGTGGAGGGTAGCCTCATCCCAAACACTTTCCTGGGAAGCCCTTGTTTCCAGGATGGTTTTAATTAAACCAAAAAGGAATGCTGCCTTTCGGTGGGTGGCTTTTAGACCCTTCGTGGCACCTGGGGGTGTCAACACCAGCCCTGCTTTACCTGATGGGGTTCATGGGGCTGCTTTTAGGGGCATGAAAGTGGAGTGGGCAACTGGAACCCCTTATTATTGACTGAATTGGGGGGAGATGAGAGCCTGTCCACCTGTGTGACTCCCCGCCAGATCTACCCACATTCTGCTGCTCAGGCTGGCTTCGAGGACCACCCAAAATCCCACGGCTTTTAGCTCACGCTGCTAGCACTTGTGGGACATGGTGACGCTCAGCTCTGCAGGGACATGTCTCTGGGGACATTCCATCACAATCCCTGGAGTCCCATGTCCCCTTCTTTTGCATCCCTCCATGGAAAACGGTGCCCGTGTCTGTGCTGAGGTGATGGGACAGCCAGGTTTGAGGCCTTTCCCTGGAGATTGGATCTTTTTTCCCTCAGCTCTTTGCATGCAGGGAGTGGTTATCTCTGCACCTCCATTGTTCCCTTCTTAATCTGGGGACAAACTCCATCCTCACCTGCTTTCACCTCTGATTAACAGGTACCTTGAACCTCTAATGACGCAGGGCAATCCATCAACCCAAACTCCGTCTCCTTGCCAGAGGGAAGATGGAGGTGAAGGGTGGGATGAGGAGGAAGGGTTCCTACTAATTTGGGCATCACTTACCCGGTTTAACGTGTCCAGTTCTGTCATCTCAAGCTCTCCTCCATCCACAGGTCCAGCCTGGGTCAGACAGAGGACCAGCATCTTCTCCAACCCACCGTAGAAAGAAACATCACCAGGAGAAGGTCTCACCAGCTCCAGCACCGCAGAAAGTGCTCAGTGTTGGAGACTGAGCAGAAATTTTCTCCCCAAAAAGGCAGAGACCAGCAGTTATCACCACTGTGAAGTGGCTGCTCCTGGGGTTCAAGGCATGGGGAAGCCCAGCTTTGTTGCAGGAGTGGAGCTGCAAAGAGAAAGATGGAGTTTGGGGATTTACTTCTCCATCAGAAGAAGTTCCCAAGGTCTGACGGTGCAGTGGGGCAAGTGGGATGCAGAGCCCACTGTGCTTAAAGGATCAGCTGCCACCAGCTCAGAGGGAGGTGCCCCCAAAACCACTGCCAGAAAGAAAACCTGTGTGGCTCAGAAATACAGAGTTTAAGGTACAGTTTAGAGCTTTATTTTAAGCATCAAGAGATGATATTTTGATGTCAAGGGACTGTCACCAGTGTTGGGGACAAGCAACAAAAGGGAGACACCCAAGAGTAAATCCCCATGGGGATATGATTCCTGATAACAGATCTCATGGGAGAATAAACAAAGGAAAGACATTAGAAATGCAGGATGTGATTTTTAATGAGGAGCGTCATTAATTGTTGGAGCAACTCCCCTCTTCCATGCAGGAGGAAGAGCCACAGGTGGTTCCTCTGGTTCCTCTAGCCCATTTTGAGGCTGGGTACAGGTTTTCTTGGCTAGGAGATGCCACCACGTCGAAAGTCGGCACCAGACCGGTGTCGGTTGAAGGGAGGTGTGTTTCTGGCAGGACCTTCCCCTATAGGAATGAGGGGGCTGGGAGCGTCCCCCTCTTTGGAAGTGGACCTGGACCCCAGCTGCCACGGCTGCTCTGCTGACTCATTTTAAAACCAGCAACAAAAGCAATCGGCCAGGGGGGTGATAAAAGCTCCCTTGGCTTATCAGTACCCCCATTTCCAGTAATGAAATCCCGGCAAGCTATCTGGGGAGTAATTGGAGGGTTTAATTGAGGAAGATCATTAGGTGAAAGATGAAGATAGGGGAGCTGGGGTCCCTTACTTCTTGTAAGTAACTGGGGCTTTCATGATGGTGACTGATGAATTTGTTTATAAGGGGCAATGGGGAAGAGAAGGAGGTGAAGAGCTGAGATTCTCCCAGATCTTTGGTGTCCAGGCTGTACCTGATGCAGACTGGCAGCTGTGTCCCCAGGGGAGGCAAACAGCACTTGATAAAGGCATCTCAGGGAGACCTTCCACCACCAAGGGGCTGTTTCACCTCAGTAATGTTAATATTAATCTGCTTATCTGCCCTGGGGCTATAAAACCCTCATCTCCAAAAGGAAAAAAAAAATTCCCACTGTTCTTTCTTTGTATCTGCACTTGCTTATTGCGGGCCTTATCAGCAAACATAGCCAGCCACAGGGCAAGAGAGTCACGCAATGGCTCCAGCAAATGAGGCTTCTGGACCTACACCAGCATTGGCATCACGTGTTTCCACTGTGGCTGGAGTCACTGGGCCAAGTCCATGAGAGCTCCTCCACCCCATGGATGCTGCCAAGTCCCTGGTGGTCCCAGTGCTCTTCTGAATCACTGAGTTAAACACTGAGAGACCCCAGCCTACGGAAAGATGGTTCATCACTCTGTTGCCTTGACCTGTGACCCTTGTTGTAGGGAGCGAAGATGTTATTTGGCTGATGGAGCTCATGGGTCATCCTAACCCATTCTTCCACTTTTCTTTCATGGTCTCTGATAGCCTGCAGCTCAAGCCGTGGTATGGACCTACTGTTCCTCACTCTTGCTTGTAACACAAAATTGGGATTATGGCATTAAGAGGTGAAGACAAAGCTGGTGTGACATGAAGTAAAGCTGCTTGGGCTGGTTCAGTGAATTCATGTGGGTCTGAGGCTGTATCGTTTCAGTATTTCATCACAAACTGATGGCCAGGCAGGACCTGGACATACCAAGATGAAGAGTTGCTCCTTTTCATTCGGGCTTGTTTAGCGGGTCTGAACACCTCCCTGCTCTAGCTGGAATCTCCCTGAAGTCTTGGGCAATCAACTTCCCCATTTTCTTCCTTAACATGCTCTTTAGTTTCTGTCTCTTCTTGGAAGTTTTGTGCAATGCATGATGAGTGATCGGTATTCGGACCTGAAAGGAGCTCCCATTGGTCAGGGTCTGGGACTATGGCTGAGCAGATGCCACCCATGGGAACAGATTCAAGAGCAGAGCTTATTGCATTGGATGGTTATACTTGTTCCTGTAGTGATGCTTGCCAGCTACTGGGTTGGCTGGGATGGGTTGCGTGCAAGTTGAAGAAAAGGAGACATCGGGTTCTACTGGCATGGGTTGACTTGCAGCCAATGTAAACTCTTGGCTTTGAGTTGGACAAAATCCTGCTCTCCTTCTCTGCCCTGTTGTGAATACACCCTTGCTCCAGTCCAGAAGACCAGCAGCCTGAATTTCTCAATAGCAAGGGGCAAAGGTGTCCTTCCATGTGTCCCTCAAGGCCAGCAGTGGCTGTGGTGAATGAGGCTTAAGGTGGCTGAAGTCCTCCAACACACTGGTCCCTCCAGGGAGGCTTTTCTCCAGCTCGGTTCATTTGAAGTGAAAATTCTCATTTTTCTGAAAAAAAGTAATCTGAGCAGCAGGAGAACCCCTGGTGCAAGGTTGTCGGATAGATTCTCAAAGAGACACTAAAGAACACACCCCAGCAGTGTTCAGATGGTCTGTGCTTGGGTTCATTTCCTTCCCTTTAGCAAAAGACAGCTTGCACACACTTTGTGGTACTAAGACTAGATGTGATGGAATACACAACATTAGAAATGCTGGAAAATGAAAAAGGCAAGGAATGCTACAAAGTGAGATAGGAAGGAGTTTCAATGTCTTCAGTTTATTAAAACAGCCCATAAAGTTGTACCAGACCCAGCTTTGCTGCCAGGATGCACAGGTCTTTGTCCTCCGGCAATGTCTGGGCAATGCACAAGCCCACTGCTCAGTTCATGCTCTTCATGGGGATGCGCTGCTTGACCTGGAAGTGCTCACATCTTTTGTGCTTCAAGGACAGCCCATAGCGTGGCGTCATGTCCACCTTCTTGCCATCGCAGACACTGAACTCCAGCTGCTGGAGCAAGGTGGACAGGAAAAGGAAGATCTGCCACCTGGCAATGGGTTCCCCAATGCATCTCCTTTTCCCTAAGCCGAAAGCCAGCACCTTCTCCGCATCCACTCTGTTCACTTCAGTCCCTTCAGCATTGAGGAAGCGCCCAGGGTTGAAGGTCAGTGGATCCTTCCAAAGTTTCCTGAAAGGGAAAACATCAGATGCTGAGATGGTGTCTCCTGGCCACAGATGTAGGGGGGGACACTGGAAGGTGGGAGATGTCAGTAAGCATATCCCTGAAATTAGTAGATACTTCACTTGCTCCCTTTTAGAGCAGGTTGACCCCATGTCTGCCCAGGAAGATAACTGTGCAGGAAGGGGCCTGCATGTCAGTGCAGGAGGCTTTCTGCTCCAGAAGGTACTTACTCATCATGATTCACTTGCCACTGATTGACAAACACGCAGCGGTCCTTTGGGATGTAGTAGCCTTTCAGCACTGTGTCCCTGGTTGTGCTGGAGAGAGGAAAGACTCAGACTTTGAGAAGCAAAATGGTTTTTCTGCATCCTCAGGGTACTGTTAGTTTGCTTCTGATGCTGCCGAAATAAGAATGTGGCCCAAAGAGATGGTTTTATCAGGGGCAGTTGCATTGTCCATGAGCTGGATTGGGCAGCCCCTACCTGAGCTGGGTGGAGCATCTTGAGTGAAATCAGAAGGAGATAACAATTGCTCTTTGGGAACTCCCACATCACCCTGAACAAGAGCTTTGAGCTCCTGATGTCCATGGTGAAGCCATCACTCTGCAAGCTGACAATAATCTCCCTGCCTCTCACTACCCCGCTGCCAGCGTGGCTGTAACAAGGTGCCTCAGGTCCACCTTGTCCGTCCACCTCCTTTGCAACCTCAGCACTTGCCTGTGTGGGATGGTGAAGGGCAGGAAGGAGGAGTGCCTGAACATCTCCAGGATAAAGGCTTCTGTGTAGGGCAGCATGCCTCGGTCCGACAGCCTCGGTCTCCTCTCCTGGCCGATGGTCTGGTCTGCGGGAGGTCAAGTGGAGGGAGTGGGCTGGGGTTAGACTTCCCCAGACAGGTTTTGGCCCCCAAGGAAGCAGGTTAATGGACTCACCTAGTTCTTCCTGGATCTTCTTCTGGATTTTGGGGTGTGTCACGAGATACATGAGGCTCCAGGACAGGCCATTTGTCACAGTGTCAAAGCCTGGTCAAAGAGGAGAGCATGTAGATGAGGTCTGTAAAACACACAGGGCACGTGCCTCGGCTTGGTGCCTAGCCACCACATGGAGCCGTCCTGGATGGCTGAGAAGGCAGAGGACATCCTGGGCACACAGTAAGGCTCGGGTTTCTATCCTATCTGAGAAAACCTTGCTAGAATATTCTGCTCTCATTCGTCCTGATTCACCCTTGGGTGATATCAGGTCCATACAACTTCTCTGGAATAGGAGGAGTTTCCACAGAGTAACTCAAAGATGAATCAGTCAATAGACATCTCCCTCAACCAGGAAAAGCCACCCTGGCTTCTGAAGCTTGGCTGAGCTATAATCCATGCCCTTCGCTTTTCCTCAGAGCCTCTTTCCAGAGCTAATAACCCATGCTAGTCTCTATGGGTCTCCTTGGAAGGGCCAGGAAGACCAGTGAGCAGGAGAGCGAATGCTTAGACCCAAACTGGCTGCATAGTGCTTGACAAAGATGGGTCAGACAGAGAGGTACAACAAGGAGCCTGAGAAAACCTGCAGTAGCTGAGGGACCACAATACCTGCTCCAAAGAGGTCATTGACGATGTTGATGATCTTCTCCTTAGGAATCTCCGTGGCAGCACTTGCTTCCACTTTTTCCTCCAGGCACTGCTCGATGAGGGAGTCAGTGACGTCTCGGATGTTGTTCTGAGAAGAAGAAGACAAGTCATGGCAGCAGGACCATTAGAGGAATGGGCGTTACTGAGCAATAACCTGATGTGTGCCCAGGATGTTTCCTGCAAGGTCTTACCTTGTCGTAGGTCTCATAGTGCTCTTTGACCATTTTCTGCAGGAAATGGACGAATCGCTGGTTGAATTCTTTAAATAAAGTCATGGCGCGGCTGGGGAGATACTGGAGCACGGGAATGAAGTCAGCGGGGTTGCCAGAAGCAGCCACGTTATTGAACTGTTCCGTTTCGTTCACTATATTGAGCAGCTCTTGGTCATTGTGGTCATAACGCTTGCCAAAGCAGATGGCACAGATGACGTTGGCCACAGAGACCACCAGGTACCGGTAAGGGTCAAAGCTCTTCTCCTCCTCCATCAGCTGCAGGAACTTGGTGACCAGGTAGTCGGCCTCCTTGGAGACGTGCTCCTCCAGGAGGCAGATGGAAGAGGAGGTGGGACTGGGGGCAATGGAGAAGGTCTTCAGGGCATTCTGGGCCAGCTTTCTGCGAGCTTTCCACACCTCTCCAGAGTCAGGGCTGAATGCCAGGCTCTGGCCATCCACAACAAAGCGGAAGCTATAAAGGTCAGGGCGCCCCATGAAGTCTTCTCCTTGCTTCACCAAGGCTTGCCTGATGGTGTCCAGCCCACTCAGCACCAGGACAGGCCGGGTGCCAATCCTGACCTCCATCACATCCCCGTACTTCTGGCTCAGCCTGGTCAAGGCCAGGTGTGTGTCCTTCCTCAGCTCCAGCAAGTTGCCCAGGATGGGGTAGCCTCTGGGTCCTGGGGGGCTCTTCAGCCCCTGGGGCACGTGCTGCCTCAGGGACTGGATGAGCAGGAAGACCAGGCAGAAGACGGCAGCTGCCAGGAGGACCTCGGTGGCCGAGACAACACCTTGGCTTCCCAGCAGGGGCATTGCAGCACTCATCGCTGCCGGCATGTAGAAACCCTAAAGGAGTCAACCAGAAGTGTGGTGAAGAGCCAGGATTAGCAAAAGACTGAGTCCCACAGATGTTCTTGATGGTGAGAAAGGGCACCACCAGTTCAGGATAACAGACCTGCCTGTGCAGCACTTTGGGGCTTTGAAGGGACAAAAGTTGGAGACATTTAAAGACTCCAAACACAGCCATTGCTTAAGGGGAACCTCAACCCCCCTGAAGCCTCTAAGGGCACCCCTTCCCCTGCAGCAGACCCCAGGGAGACGGTCCATTTGTAACAAGGTGCAGAAAATTGCAGCTCAAAAAAGTGCAGGGAGACAGGAGGGGAGGAGCAGCAACTCTTCAACAGAGCTATCCCTATCTTCACCTAATCTGGGAGGATTTATAGCCAGGAGTCTGGATCTGCTGTGTGGGCAGAGGAGGAAGGGGAGACCCTGGTGCATAAATGTCTCCTTTAAACTCAAATATGACCTTACTGGTCCTATATCCATGTTCAAAACCACACACACATTGTCTCCTACCTGCAGGTTCTTGTGATAGACAAGGCTGGAGTTACTGCCCCTGATTCCCAGCCAAGATAGGCAGGGGGTGTCTGGCTGGGGAGCAGAGGAGATCCTCTTCTGCTGCCTGGACCTTCTTCTGCCTTCTGGAAGGCCACTGCTTTATATATGCTCCTCTCATCACATGGCCAAGTGCTTATCTCTTGTGGGGGGGGTCATGGAACCAAAATCCTGGGGAATAGCTACCCATTAACAAATGGAGCTGAGCTCAGCTGGAGCCAGCCCAAGAAGCGAGGGCAGATATTTCCTCAGCTGCAACAGGAGATGAACATTGACTTCTCCTGCCCAGGACACGTGCCTGCCCCAGAGCCCAGGACAGAGAGGCAGAAGGGGGTCCCTAAGCCCTGCCCTGGGGAGGATGCTCTCAGCATCACCGCCTTATGCAATGTAGGTGCCAGCATTTCCCAAAAAACCCTTCCTTGGGCTGACCAGCCCCAGCACACAGAGAAGGCTGTCATCTCCGTGGCCACTTCGGAGGCACCAGCAGTGAGGGATTGTCTTTGCAGCAAGACATCCACGGCTGCAGCCCTCTCCATCCCCAGGGACTCACCGGGCAGATCTCTGTACCCCAGGAGCAGTGGTGACAGGACCTTCTGGCCCGGTGGCAGAGCCAGGCTCAGGTTAACGATTGCCCAGGTTTGCGTGAGAAGGCGGCTGGCTCGCTTCCCCCGGCTCCTCCGTGGCAAACAAGCGGCCAGGGAGAGGAGTGGCGGGGCAGAGGGGAGGAGGTGAGCCAGAGAGATAGGAGAGGTGAAAGAGGCAGAGCAAGTTCATCTCTCCGAAAAAACACAGCAGGAGATGTGGGAATGAGCTGGGGCAAAAAAAGCAGGGGTTTGGGCTGGAGAAGCAGGAAAGAGCCAGAGCTTTCGGGTTTGGCCCTAAGTTTTGTTCAAATCTTTGAAAATAGAGTGGGAATTTGGCCTGGGGAAAAGCTGAGCTAATATGTAATAAAGGCTTTCAACATCAGGTCTAATCGGGCTCATTAATAGCAATGACGCCATTCATTAACGTTTGGCAAGGACAGTTACAAAACCCTAGCTGCTAATGTTCATTCTGATAATTGTCAGGCACCTCGCAGACCGACTGGCCCCGGTGATGCCTCCCAGCAAGGAAGACACTTGGGAGCATTTCTGGGGGGGAGGCAGGCTGGGGTCCGGTCAGTGTCTCCCATCTCGTTGGCTCTACTCTGCTGCACTGCAGGAGAGCATGAGTGAGTGTCTGCTCTGTGCATGCAACACATGTGTGTGGCAACACACCTGTAGAGGTGTCCATATGCACATGCCACAGCCTCATGCGTGAGGACGTCTCTGCCTGGGGTTTATGGGCATGGCGATGTGTCCTGCATGAGGCAGGTGGCCGGCGTGGGCTGGGTAGCCCGGCAGTCACCCTCCCAAGCCACGGCGAGAGACAGCAGAAGGGGGAGAATTAGCATGGCTGGGACCGTCAGAGGAGCCTGGGGGCACTGGTCAGTGTCCCCTGGACCCCAAAAGGGACATTTGGGGTGACACAACTGAGCCACTCCATTTTGCATGGTTGGAAACTGCTATCTTCCTCCCACCTCATGACTGTAGAGGAGGACACAAGTGGCAGAGGGGGCTGCTGTCCTCTTGCAGGTGATGCCAGCAGCCCGTGGCAGAGGGGGTGCAGTCCTGTTACCCCCAGGGAGCCCTCCCATCCCCAGCCAGCCC